TCCTGGAGCCCCTTGAGGGACTGGAAGGGGCTTGAAGATCTCCCCGGAGCCTTCTCTTCTCCAGGCTGAACCCCCCAACTCTCTCAGCCTCTCCCCACAGCCTGTCCATGTCCTCGTTAACCCGTCTGCTCTCTCCCTAGAAGGGGAAGAAGTGTGTGCGGACCCCGAAGCCCCGCCAGAGCCTGCACTTTGAGTTTTCGGGCTGCACCAGCACCCATTCCTACCGCCCCAAGTTCTGTGGCAGCTGCACGGACGGGCGCTGCTGCACCCCCTCCCTCTCCAGCACGGCGGAGGTGGAGTTCCGCTGCCCCGAGGGGGACTTCTTCCAGAGGAAGATGATGTTCATCAAGACGTGCTCCTGCCACTACGACTGCCCCCGAGACAACGACATCTTCCTGGCCACCTACCACCGGAGGATGATCGGGGACCACGTCAAGACGGAGCGGCAGTAGAGCCCTCTCCCTGCCACATCCACGGGACGAGGTGTGTCCCAGGGCTCTGCCGCGCTTCCGTGGTTGCATCCCAGGACCACGCAGCCTCTTCCCCCTCCGTGAGGGGCTGTGCTCTTCAGAACAGCACCGCTCGCCACCAGTGGTCCCAGCGGCCTTGTTAAAAGCCGGGGTGCAGGGGGGGGACAGCCCCATCTGCCCCAGGCTCCTGACCTTCACCCGTGACGGTGCCAACGGTTGGTGAAGGACCCAGGAACAGGCTTGAGCTGCAAACTTGATCCATGTTCCTGCTGACCAGACGGGAGAGTGGATCGAAGGCACCTGGCTCCAGCCTGTCTCCAGCTGAGAGCTCAGTGGCTACGATTCCCCGTGGCCACTGGCCTTCCAAAACCACGTGGAGAACCCGGGGCAGGAGAGAGAGGAAGCCCAGGAGGCCAGAGCTGAAGCCGAGCTCTGTAGCCCCTTCCCAGCAGAGCAAGGCTTGTGGATGCAAACCTTCTCGGTGAGGAAGGTGGTCCCAGCCCCATATTGTGCTCCTGCTGAGCTTTGCAATTATTTTTTGGCTAATTGGATCCAACAAGTTGGCAAAGTTCCCCATCCTTGTGCCCACCTTTCACCCTCCCATGTCCTTCCCTGTCAGCAGCTTTGTCCCAGACCAGTTTGCTCCTGGAGAGAGGGAGCATCTCCTGGGTGACCCGTTCTCTGGGGCAGCTCAAGGATGATCCCGTGTCTTGGGATGTCCTGATGTCTTTTTTTTTTTTTTTTCCCCCCCCATTAAATTCCTTTCACCCTTGTGTGCCAGGGAGGG